CCCAAAAATGTCAGCATACTTTATCAGTCGGTGACACCCATAAAACGCAATTTACTAAAAAATGCATGACTAAGCGCGAAACACCCTTTAGATAACGATACGCTGGATCCAGGGCACAGAAACACTTACAACCGATGGTTTAGAAGTAATCCTGCTAGTACGTACTTGAAGCAGTCCTCTGTTAGTAACCAATCAAATCGAAGCTATGGTCGTCTAACTGATTAAATTAAAGGCAATGGTCGCCTTGTGTAATTTTGTGCTCGCCAAATATTCGAGTTGCCATTATAAATAATGTATTAATATACCAAAGTTATCCTTAAGTTGTAATGATTTTACACATTTTACTTTCAATCATGAGCCTTTCTGTGGGGTCTGGTTTCTAGTCATCAAAGCTTACGATCCATGATATAGTGGCTTATTGTAAATAATGTGTGGCTAACGATATTTCTATAATTAAAGCGTTGATGAACTTTGTGCCTGATAAGTGAAATTTTTGGCGTGAAATTGCACCTCAGCCCCTAGCTTGGTCGCGTCTGAACCTCCGTGGCCTTCATGTTGCGACACTAGTTACTAACATTTCACTACTATTTACAATTAAGTAGCGTAGAGCTTTTTTGTTTGACCTCGACAGAACCAACAGCACAGCTCGTTAATGGTTTACCTCACATTCTGATTTGGTCGCCTTGATATTCAAGTCTAGGGCTTCGGAAAATCTATGACACCCATGGTGAAGCGTTTACGTAAAGGTGGGAGATTGTGACAACCACGCCAAGTAAATCTCACGTTTTGCAGAATAGTTTGTAAGAAGTGAGGTAAACACCGATTGTAGTCTGCAAAGTTCACCGTAGAGCTGTTCAAAGCTACAACTTCGCAACTCCATCAATACACCAATAGCAAATTCTGTCCCAAAACCTTGTCCCAACCTTGATAACGAATTCTTTTGAAAAATTTCCTGTAATCATCGCCAATTTTTGCTATCTAATCATCAGACCATCTTTAGGAAAACCAAAACGCCTTTACTACCAATGCTAGAACCCATCCCACCCTTAGTCGCCCTATTCCCCGATTCCGTCATGGAAGGAACCACAATTGAAAGTAATGTAACATGCAAAGTTTGCAGCAGACCATGCGATTACACAGATCTACACACCCAACGAGCCTCTGCCTTTGTTGTGAATGTGAAGTTCGATAAAAAGAACAAAAACAAGAATAGTATCAAATGCTTATGGCATAGGACTTGACAATCCAACGCAATGGGTACGGAGTCATGCGCGTGGAGTTGTGCAATGGAGCAGTAAACAATGAGATCATGTAAAACCGATACCCCATAATGATGTGCTGACAAAAAACACTCAACTTCTCTTGATCGTCGTCTCGCGATCGAGTTCTTTTCAAGACACCAAGAGGATGTTCAGAAGTCTAAAGGAGAGAGAAGCCACACCGACCGCGAGAGATCTCCCAAAACTCCTGCATAAATTCCAAGTCTTAATCAAACAATTAAAGCATCACAAATCTAACATGAAAAGCGGAATTAACCTTGTCGAGGTCGAGGCAGGCTATGACATGATGTTCTGTCTCGATAACAGCGTAAAAAGTAGTTACCAAAATTTGACTACATTAGTAGAGGTGTGACTTTTGTTTACGCTATCTGCACCATCGAATCAGGGTCTCCAGGTCACAGCTGTCGCGTGACATCACAGGTGTGCGTGTCGTCGTCACCTATTTGGGCGACGTTTGAGGCCAGAACAATGTAAAAAATGAAAAAAAAAAACAATGATTAACCTAAACCCAAATCACGTTGTCTAGGTGTCAAACATGTCTCTGAGATTGTACCTTGAGAATGACTTAGGCAGAATGAAACTCAAGTTTTCCAAATCAAAGCGGAGCAGCCTCAACCTTGCTCAAAGTAAAAAGGAGGTCAAAAGACAAAAAGCAGCAATGCCTCATACTGCGCTAAGATATTTGGAATCAAGATGAGGACCCAAAAAGGAGCTTCACGAGCATCAATATCCTAGCAGCCACCAACCATACCGACCATGGCTTTTCAAGGTCATTCGCCTCCCATGCCCAGGTAACATGATTTGGCAGGACATGGCGTGAGGGCAAGGGAGAGTGTTGACGCGTGACGTCACCGCATACCTCTAACTTCGTCAGCGAAAAATACAACAGACGTCCGACAGCTGGGCGATTTTAGTGACCACGACCATCGAGACAGCCATGGACGCGGCCTAGCAGTGTCATCGATCGTCCCATCCATCGGCACGGCAGAGTACCGACGGTATCTATACGCACCCTTTCGACATCCTCTTGCTAACTAGGACAAGGTAGTGAACTTACCAACTACAAAGTAACGTACATTCAGACAACGACACCCAGAAGACACAGTTTAACCCGCGGTGAGGGCAATGTGTCGTGTTTTTGATCAAACATCTCTTTTTGTGCAATCTTTTTATAGGAAACAATGAAAACGGAGTAAGGGGTAAACTGAGGGCCCGGGTAGGAGGGACAGAAAGAGGAGAGTGGGGAAAGAGGGCGATAACGGTAGGTAGGGGAACGAGTAAGCGTCAGCAACAGGTCAGCAGCGACAATTGGTAGGTTGGTAAAAAACCGAGGTTCCGTCAACGAACGAGGCACTGAAAAAACGGAGTGACGGAGATTTGTTCGGAAGAAGGCGAGGACACGCAGACACCGATGGGAGGAGGGAGGTGTGAGCGCAGTCCAGACGGATAAAAAGGTGGAGAGAGGCAGAGGAAGCAAGCAAAAACTGAAGTTCTTCAGCACCTTGGACATGAAGTAATGAATGACGTAAAGACCGAATCATAACTTGAGTCAAATGCAATCTCCAGTTCCTTTACCGAAGGGTATGGGAGTGAATGAATGAATGGGAAAAGGGGGGAGAGGGGAAGGTGATGACGAAACATGAAGAGATAGGGGCATGTAGACCGCGGAGAAGGGGGGCATGGGGTGAGACGAGTGAAAAAGCAATTCACACCCCTTCTCCCTAGCACGCGCGACACGAACACTAAGGGGGCTATTGAGTATTACCAACTTCAGTCGCGTTGTTGACAGTATGGCGTTTGCCATTCCGCTGAGCTGGAACGCTGTTTTCGGAATGCCCCTCCTTCTTTGGGCCAGTGGGGTCGGCTCTAAAACAGAAGCGGTTTATTTTATGAAGGCAGAAGACGCATAGCATAATAAATGGAAAAGTGAACCAAACTTCCCTCTCAAAATTGTCTGTCGCATAGAGCAGAGCCAGAATACCTTCCTCATCAGGAAGCAAATAAAAACGCTAAGTTGCAATTTTTCGGCCTGCTGATCCCATAACGTCTCCTACCACGGAACGCAATTATTGCGCCATAACACTAATGTCCTGGAAGTGCGGTGGTGAACCAGACGTAATCACAAAAACAGTTGATTAACACATTTTGACAATTGTGTGCTATCACTTGTCATCCTTACGAAAAAAAGACCGCACAGTAGTTGACCAATCCATTCGACTTACAAAGGTAACATAAATGGCGCTTAATTGGATTTTAGATCGCACATTCCTTTACGCTGATGCGCAAACTTGAAGCCTCACTCCCAGGCCAAGACAGTGATGGCAACTAACGAGCTGCGTGGGTGATTATTTGCAGAACTTCATAAGGAAGTGTAAAATGTTCTTTTCTTCGGTTTATCAATGTGCCAGAGCTTAAGAGTCACCCATATTTTACCCTCACACACAAATAAGGCCAGCCTAGGTAGATAAGGTCACGGTTTTGGAATTAGGCCGCCTTAGTAATACCCACTGTTTGTCAACCATATGTGTGGATTGTTACCCCAAATGCATCCTACATGCCTCATGGTTGCCAAAACTACAAGAGGCTTTTGCAGTGACAAAATGTCCAACTAACCCGTTAGCGTTAGCCGTAACTCCATTTTGCTCGTCAGCGAGTTGATCCGAAGGAACAGCAGTACCAGTGTGACTGCCACTACCAGCACGGTTGCCACCACGTTGAGCGCCTCGATTGCGTTGACGGGCGCCAGCACCGCGCTGAATGTTCGCTGGTCCGGGACCGCTACCGCCGCCTACACCACCTCGGCGACGTCCCATCGTTGAAACAGACCCCGACTCCTCCAAGACTTTTTTCTCGTCAGCAACCCCACCAGCAACAGCAGGGGCTTCCTGATGGGGTGAGGCACTTCCACGTTGACAATCAGAAACGTCGCCAGAAGATCGTGGAGGCTGACGACCTGGGCGTCGCCCACCACCGCCGCCTCCGCCACCACGGTTCACCGGTTGCTGCAAATGTAGGGATACCACCGTTAGAGAGAAAATGTGTCTTGAAATAGATGCCTGCGTCTTCCAGACTCGTCCGGACAAGTCCTGTATATTTAACAAGACCAATTATACCACTGAAATGATATTGTAGGACGTCAAACCCTTCCATCAGACGACAAAAAAGCGTTATAAAACAAACGTAAGTGCTGCCAACTACGTTTAGGACGTTGGTGAATGCCAAGTAAATTGATAACAGCTGGCTACTTCCTACGACTGTCTAGAACACAATCATAGGGCATGTAGTTGCGTTGAATTGCAATTGAATTGCACCGACCTTCCAAATAGTTCTGAAATTGTAGCAGTAGCGGATGTGTGTCTGCATGCCTAA